TTTTTTTTTTTTTTTTATTCTTAAAAGATGAACCATTTTACGTTTCCTTTTTTTTTTTGTTTGAACTTTATTGTTGAAGTTTTATAGTAGCCGCTTGAATTAGTTTAGTTGTATTTTATTAGTTTATTGAAATTTTTTGTATGCCTATTAAAAGAAAGATCGGCATCAGTTTTATGGTAATAAGATATTGTTGCTAATTGTCCAGAAATAATAACCTAGAATTTGAAGAGAAGTTTTTTTCTACCTCTGTACCTAACTGATCTAAATTAGCAGTTGATAGTGCGTACAGTAAAAACGGTGCTTATTTGATATTTTTCTTGACTTGTTTATTTTTTAGGAGATTCTCTCTACCTAAAGAGTTGATGTTCAATTTTTTTTCTTTGGCTTTCGTGATCTACATTTAAAATGGTGGTGGAAAAGCTGCAACAGCACCAGTATCAGTAGTGGTACTGGTGAAGTTTTTTACTGAATTTATTTAGTCTTCTGAGGTCATCGTTATGGCTTCACTACAATTCTGGTTTTTCAACAATACAGCACTGTTGGGTTATAACTGTACATATTTCAAGAATTCTGATGTCACCTCTTTACCAACTCGGCACACATGTTGACTATACTTAACTGATGGCATATATGCACTTATATACCTCACATGCATATATTTTGTTTGATTTATAGGCACCTTATGTTATTCTTTAAATATTGCACATACCGTATACATCCACTTCTTCTCTTTATTTCGCTTTTTTTTCCTACTTATTTTGATTTCATATTAGAAGTTTTTAGCTTATGAAAATAACTGAATCATCATGCATAAATTATTTGGCTATTGGAAATGAGCTGGAAGGGAAAAGTTAAGCTATAAGTTGGAAAAAAACTTTTTGTTTGGAAAGGATATTATTATGTTGATTTTATAGTATAATAATAATTGATATTTTGGTCAAAAATTATCCTTACAATTTCGATTAACTGATTCTTTCGGTGGATAACCAAAATAAAGTTAATTAACCAGCAGTTATAAGAGGCAATGTTGAAGTCATTTTTGGGAGACGGAGATTTTGATCGCAAGGCCTGTTCTCTAAAATTATGCCGTTTTATTCCTTTTTTTTTCTTTATTTCTTGACTACATTATTTACCGTAAACGGACCTCAGAAAAAAATTCAAAAGTAGGTCACTCGTTCAATTCTTTTCTTGTTAAGTAGATGCAATATGTTAGTAATACAGGTGGTGTTTTTTTTTTCTTGGAGAGGTGGGTAGCTGGAGAGTGATATTCAGGATGAATTGTAATTTGCAGCTTTTATGGGTAATATTGTGCTCAACAGGCAGGCAGCCAACCAGCCAACCAAACTCAGCAAGCAGGCAGTTCTTATTGTTGAGGGGAGGCTTTGGGAACGTTGTGTTATCGAAGTCGGTTGTGCGGGTATTAGTCAGTCGTCAATTAGTGTTTGTACGTATGTGTGTGCATCAGCAGTGTTTGGTATCTTAATTAGATTTTTTGAGGAGAGTTTTAAGGACTGGTCTTTGGCGCAGAAATAAGAGACGGACGAACGGACGAACTAACGGATAGAACATTATTTTTTGTTCATTACGTTTCCGTCCAGTTCAGCTACCGTTTTTCTACATTCTCAGTTACGTCATTACCAGTGAAACAATTGAATTTTTTTTAGCTATTACGAGCAGCACTGCTCATTAGAGTAGTTGTTTTGTAGTGGAGGACATAGAGATGAAGAAAAATAGGAAAAAAGTTAATTGCTTCTTAATTATCGTTAGAATACTTGTTAGAGAAGTTTAGATGGCGATGAGATGTGTGGTAAAACGGATGAGTATAGGAAGCAGCGTTTTTGGCGATTAATTGTATTTTTTTTTTTCACCTTCCCCTCTTTCTCCCCCCCCCCTCCTCCAGTTCCGCGCTACCTGACAAATTTCATTTTAGTTTGTTTAGCGTTCAGTAGATTTTATTGCCGTCACCAGAAGTGGAAGAAAATTGAAAGGACGTTTTTTCTGCTTTTTAGGAAGTTAACTTAGTTAATAGCCGCAGTAAAATGGTTAATACGTTTAACTGCGTAAAATGATGAGGAGGAAAGATGCAGCAGGACGGCGAAAAGAAAGGAAAAGTTTTGGCTTGCTCAGTGAAAAGATGTTGTTTATGGTGGAATAGGAACAATGAGTGAAAGGAAACAATCTTTAGAAAACAATAAATTTGTTGCAAAGACTTTAAAGTCGTGGAAGAAGAATTTTTTTCTTTTTGCTTTTTTCTTTTATTTATGTTGTTATCTGTTCCGTTTGTCGCTTTACTTTTACTTTTTTATAGAAAAGAATTTTCATCAGCAGCACCAGCATCGACATCTTTCCCTTCTTGATTCTTATTGTAGTCGTTAATTTTGTCGTCTCCTCTTGCTTCAAAACTTATTATCGGTGATGTTTCGTTGCATGTTGGGTTGATGACAATTTCATCGAAATTTCTATTACTGTCATTTTTTCTTCACCTACAGTTGGCGATATATTTCACAATAAAACATTGAAATTTCTATTTTTTTTTCTTTTTTTTTTTGCATTCCAACTTCAGCAGTTTAGTTCAGAATTTTTAAATTGCTTACGCCATGTTAATTTGTTATTTTCAGAATCATATAAAAATTTTTTTATCAAGTTTTCCTAGTTGCCGTATTTTTTTTTTCCTTTTGAGAACTTTGAATTTTTATTGTTTGTAATTTGATTACTTTTTTTTTCAGCTGAACGTTGCAAGCGGTTAGTAGGATGAAAAAAAATTTTTGATAGGTTTTTTGCAATGATATTGGTTTAATTACGGTTACAGTTACAATTAAAATTCTGGTGAGTACGGTGACATTTTTGCTACTTCGTTTCTTCTTTCTTTTTCTGTTCAAATAACGAGAAAAAAAGAAAAAAATTGCACAAATTAGATCAAATAAGGATGTTTTGTTTGCCAAATATGTTTGCACGAATTGTGTGGAGTAGTATGTCTGTGGAGAGAATATGTGCTCAAGGAAGCCTTTCTGTTCTATGTCTTGACCATATATGAAATATATATAATGGTAGACTAACTGTTTGGCAAATCTTCTGGATCAGTTTTGACGGTATGTGTCTAAATTGTGTGATGCACCAAAATGGATTTTTCTTAGAATGGCTGGACGTTAGCGAATCGTTAAGAGATATAGAACGTTTCTGGTTTTATTTGGTACAAAGTTTTATAAAGAACAGAACAGGTAATGTATCTGGCCATCTAATTCCTTTGCCTCGCTTCAAAAAAAAAAAAAAGTTGACAATACTGAAACTGAAGTCTTTTTTCCATTTTAGTCTTTCATTCATTCATCCGTCATTGACATCTTCTTTGGTTTTTGATATTGATTCTAGAAAGTTAGTTTTCTTTTCTTCTATTCTAGAGGAGTCAGGGGAAGGTAAATGCGTGCGTAATAGAGTATAGGAAGGTCTTTTTTTCTTTGTTCAGTTACGTAAAACTTAATTGATGGGCAGATATAGAGAGAAGTTTTTTATTATTATTTTTCAGTTTAGAATGGGTTAGAAATTGACGATGGAAATTATTAAAAGAATTTATTACTGCTTTTACTGTTATTCTTTTTCGCTGCTTTGATTGAGAAAGAAGGGGTTATGAACTTGAAAAATGAATACAAGTGGAGGGAGAAGGGAACTGTATAATTTCTGAAAAAGCGTATTTTATATATGCATGCCCTGTGTTGACCAGTAGTTGAAAATATGGTTTTGGTTCAGCTGTAGCTGTTCGGTTCGTGTTTTTATAAGTCTTCGCGTCTTTATGTGGGTATTTGTGGTTTCTAAGAATGGCAAGCAGTGCCTTTTTTTTGCAAGTAAGACTGGAGATAAGGAGGGGAGGAAGATGAAGGTGGTTATGGATTACATACTTTAATTGCTGAGTACTTTGGGAAGGCAGGTTAGGTGGATATTTGTTTTTTTTTTTTTACATGCCACAGTTGTGCCGTATGTTTTTGGCTTATAAAATTCAACGGTGTTTTTTCCGACTTGTTTCATCGATCGTTATACGTTAATATATATATAGTCTTTCTTCGTGTATGTGTTTATTTGAATATGTGTGTTTACAAATTATTAGAAGAAAATCAAAAGTTTTTTCAAAAAATTTATCTATCGACAATTATTGCTATTTGTCGTTCGTATTTTTGAGTTGTATTGTTGAAAAAAAAAAAAGTAAAAATTTTTTATTCACAGTTTTGGCAACTCATCTGTTCGACAAGTCGTCCATTCAACACTTTTTTGTTCGACGTTTCTATGGCTTAAATATTAGGTAGCAGAAAAAAATAGGAATAAAAAAAAATATATATAATTAAAAAAAGTACGAGGAACAAAAACTATATATATATCGAAAAAAAGGCAAAAAAAAAGTTTCTGTCTGTATTGGCGAATGGATTTGACGAACGAAATATCTTGAAACCCTATCTCTATCATCGTCTTCGTTATCAAATACAGTGATATTTTAAGCACTGTTGTATATGGTAAATATTTTTCTTTATTTTTTTTTTCTTCAATTCTTATATATCTTACCTCTTTGTTCTTTAGATGGAAAAGATGCGATTTTTTCATCACAGTTATCAATACCATTTATATTTTTAAATGGTTGATACATCGCATTTATTATTCTTTTTTTTTTCTTTACTTTTTATTTATAGTATTGGGTGTTTATTTAACCTTTTTCACAAGTCGTCATCATCGTTGTTGCTGTTGAAAAAAAAAATTAAAATTTTTTTTAGGTTAGGAGGTATTGCTGAAAAAAGTTTTGTAGCGGCTTTTTATCATACAGTTGCGTATTGCTGCTGCTTAGCTAACAGTTAGATTTTTTTGGTGTAATTAGGGGGTTTTTTTAAATTTATTGAACTGCTGGCGTTAGTTGAGTACACAGACGATTCATTTAAAAAGTAGGGAAATGTTCTTTTTTGTATGTGTATATAAAATTCAAAATAATGATCAACTTTTGTTTGGGTGATTGAACGGTTATTCTGAAGAGCAGAAACTGAAGTAACGTTATACAGTTCTTTAGAATAGTGTGAAGCGATTAAACTGTAAAAAGGTCAATACCTAGTCGATAACTCTGTAATATTAGCCTGATTATTGACTGAAAAAGGAAAAAGTGACTTTTTTTTGATGGCCAATTATTTGTTGACCGTCTAAGGAATATTAATGGAACTAAAACTTCTGTATTTTTCATCCACATCATTCCCTTTTCAAACATTAAACGAAAACTTGTTGAACTAAATTGGTGTAGATTTAGGTTCTTCAGAAATTGTGTTGTCGTACAAAAAGTTTGTAAAAAAAACCTTTTTTCTGCTTCTATTTGTACTGCAAAAATTTGGAGCAAATTTAGGTAATATGAAAGTGTTCAAGTGATCTCTTTGTTCCAATAGATTTTCAAGCGCTAAGCACAACAAATATTTGCCACAGCAGCCTAAAGCAGCGGACACCTGTTTAGTGTTTTGTTGTGATTCAACAGTGATAGTATTGCAGCTTAGTTGGCGTTGATACGAATCAAAGGTTGACTAAGTAAACAAAAAGAAAGGAAAGAAACCAAGATTTTTATAAAAATTTTATTAGTACAATAAGTGATTGGTCAAGAATCAGAGATCATCTTTTTTTTTTTTAATTTATGTATTCGTAGATATATTTTTTCTTTCCTTTGGTACTTTGTTATACGTATTAATTTTAGGGCAACATATTGTTTTTAAGGGAGAAAAACATCTTTTTTATTTTATATTTTTCAAATTTAATATAATATGGTAAAAAGAAAAAGTATTAGGTTCGAGGATGACAAGAAAAAAAGAGAAATTGAAATGGAGAACAAAAAATTGCAAGTATAACAGCAACAGTTATTCAATATACGATCAGCTGCTGTTTGAATATGTGCTCCGCATAGCTATTCTGATTTCAGTTAGCCTTTAGAAGAGCATTCAGTTTGAGTTGGAAGGCTTTACAAATGATTCGTTCATTGTATCCAAAAGTATGTTATCTTCAATTTTTCATCAGAAGAAAGAAGAGGAAGGAAAACATGTACCATTTAAAGTTGAACTTTATATTTCATTTCTGTCTTCTTATTCTCTTCTTCGCTTTTTTTCCGTGTTCCGGACAGGAAGAAAGATTAAGGGGGATCAAATTGGAATCACTTAAAAATGAGGTTAAGCAGAGGGTTATTGGATTTTTAAATAAATCGTTTTAAGGATACTGTAGGAATTCCAGCAACAGTTTTATTTTATCTTGTAAAATTATTACTGCTAAATTTTAGCAACTTTAATTTTGTACTTTGTAATGGAATTAGTTGTAAAATTTTTTTTGTGTAAGAATTATGAAGGAATATTTTATACGCTTAGATGATTAGTGTTTAGAAATTAAAAATTTTGAAACAGGATGAATTAAATTTTAGTGGTATTGGTATAGGTTTTTTTTTGTATTTGTGCGTGGACAGAAGAGGAGGTTTTTTTTTTCTTTGTTTTTATTTATTTTGTCTTTTTTCTCTTGTTAATTCTTTTTTCTGTTTGAAACGTTGATTGATCGTCAGTTATGGTTGTTGAAAACTGCTAAATTCTTGCATCGACTGAAACATTGTTTTAAAGTGCTTCTTTTCGTTTTTGTTTTTTTCACAAAATATGTCAAAGATTTAAAATAAACCATCTGAATGATTTCCAAAAATTTTGTTCAGCTTTTTTTTTTGACTCTTTTATTCATTCATAACAAAATTTGGCTAATTTTTTTTTCGGCTTTTTTTCAAATAGTTTATTTTAACAAACAGAAAAAAAAAAGACTCAATTGGTTAATAGAATAGCAGTGTTCTGAGTCAAACAACCTGTTTTCTGCTCATCAAATTTGACATTTATCAATTAGTCTACTCACCAAGGCGGAAATATCTTTGCCAGAATATGTTATCAAATTAAATTAGGTTGCTTAGGATGGATGAATATTTGTTGGTGAACATTTAGGTTACATAACGGCAACAAATTATTTTCCTTTCTTCCTTAAAGTTTCTTCCTCAAATTGTTGGGTGAAGTATTCTTTTCTTTTTTTTTTCTTTCAATTTTTTTTTCTGACAACAAACAGCAGTTTGCATTTGTTGGTATAATCCATTTGATTCACATTTGATTCACGAAGGAATCTTATTGTCGATTTAAAAGATAGTAAAGATAAAAAAATAAAAATTGAGAAGAGTTCCCTCTTTTTTTGTCCAATTTTTTTAAATTTTATTTTTTAAAACAAATAATTTTGTTCAGAACAATAAATTTTATTACTGGAAAAAATTTTAGGCAAAGTTAGAGAAGGTTTTGGGTTGTACAGCGATCTCTCGTTCATCACTATCAGTTGATGAAAATAAAGGAATTATTGCATATCCTGCTGGGTAAGATAATTATTTTTAATCTATTGCTTTAGTGTTTTTTTTCTTCTCTCTAGAAGAACTTCTGCATGATACAGTGTTTTTTTTCGGTGGTATCATTATCATTATTATGAATTGATTCAAAAATGATGGACATAAAAGTAACAGTCATTTGCAGTTCCACAGTTGTTTTGCATAATCCAAAAACTAATGCTCAGGCTCATTTGATTGGCACAACACGGAACAGTATAACCTGTTTAGCATTTTCAAAATGTGGCCGATTCCTTGTGACTGGTGAGGTATGAAAATTTTAACATTTTTTTTTTTCAATTTTCAGTTTTTCTAATTGGTCATTAATTGTTGACTGTAAAAAGCAACTGCAGTTTGGTTTTATCTGATAAAAAAAAAAGAAAATTACGAGATCTTTTTATAATTTATTTGAGCTTAATTTCTTTGCCATGTTTTTTGCTGCTCTATTTTAATTAATTTTTTGCTAAATCTTCTTTAACTTCATCTTTATAAAAAAAAAAAAAAAAAAAGTAATATTCATCCCCATATGATTTTATTTTTCTGCCATAAGTTATAAGCTACGTAGTGGCTAATGATATACGTGTAAGTATATATGCAATAATACTTAGAAGCCTGACTGTAAATATAGTTGTATAACGTTCAATTTCCAGTATGGTCACGAACCAAAGGTTCGAGTTTGGGAAATTTATGATCAGGCGGGTCAGTTTTACCCATCTAAAGTTGCCGAGCTAAAACTGCACAAATTTGGAATTGTCTGTGTGGTAATTTTTTTCTATATTTTTGGGTTTTATTCTTTATGCCTGTTTAGCTTTTTTTCTTGCTAATGAATCTATCTTTTCAGCGATTTACTCCTGACGGCGAGAGAGTCATATCTGTTGGTAATGAATATGACAAAGCAATTGCTATTTCAAATTGGCGGAAGCTTTGTACTGTGTCGGAAAATAGACTAACATCTAAGGTTTGTAAATGCATTTATTTTTTTTCTAATTGCGGAACTTTAGTTTATAAAACTGTAAAGTAGGTCATGTTGGTATATTTTAGGTAAATGCATTGGATATCTCTGAACAAGGCAATTATTATGTGACTGTCGGGGTTCGTCATGTTAAGTTTTGGTATGTCACAGAAAAAACTGCCGGTTCTGGAACAACACCTTTGCAGGTTTGCTTCAAAGCTCTTTATAAAATTTTTGACTGCTAAAATGAAATTGAGTGGCAGACGTACGCGTTTCATAGTATTGCTGCCTAATTCTATTTTTTTAGTAGTAAATGATTTGTATTACCAAATATCAAAAAGTATGATGGAAAAATGCAAACTTTTCTTCTGTTTTCAGGGGCGGTCTGCAATTTTGGCGGAACAGCGGAATAATACCTTTGTTGACGTTTGTTGTGCTTCAAATAACCGAACGTTTTCGATAACTGAGACTAACCTCTTGTTGGAGTTTCGGGATAAGAAAGTATATTACCTATTTTTTATAAATTCTCATTTTTGACGACAGTAGGCTAATTTTTTCATTAAAGAATCTGTGAGAGGGTGTTTTCTAGTTAACTGGTACTTATGACTTGCATGGTGAAATGCCACGATCTCTCGTTCTTGGTGGAAATGAAATTTTCATTGGTTTCAACAACGGCACAATTCGGTGTCTTGATGTCGACACAATGGCCCATAAATTCTCTTATTGCAAGCCACATTACCTTAAATGCGATGTTTCTAAGGGTACAAGGAATGAAGTTTTTCTTCCAGGTTCTCATCCTCCTGGTTGCAGGTACGTAAAGGGTTTAGAGGATTTTTTGTGTAGTTTTGTTATTACGGGGAAAAATATTCATTTTTCCAGGTATCCTGATGTACGAGCTCTTTGTTATAATAAATCAATTGGGGTTTTGACAGCTATCTATAGTGATAGGTCCATATACAGTTGGCAACGTTTAGAGAACGGAAATGGTTTGACAAAATTATCCTCCCAGTTATTTCACGTTGGTGCCATCTACGGTTTAGAAGTGAGTGCTGCTTTTTTCTTTTGGTATTTCTTAGTAAATATAATTTTTGATTTTGGAGCATTAAGTTTTACTGCAGGTTTACCCTACTGCGTTCTCCTGGTTGCCAGCTGGTTCGTTTATTAGCGTAGGTGCTGACAACACGGTCAGGATATGGAATATTGATCAAAGAACGAAACACTTCCAATCGGTTTGTTACCAAAATTGTGTTCATTTATTGAAAAGCAAAACATTTATTTATTATTCATATTTCATCCGGTCTACTGAATTCTTTACTTTTTTGCAGGATGCTAGACTACCGCCTATGCAAACAAATGTTTTTTCGGAGGAATTAAAAAAAGTGATTTATCTTTCAGATTCTGCCAACTCACTTGTAGAGAATCCTGAAAGTCAGTTTTTTGTTATTTTGTGTGCGGCTTATGCTACTGTTTTTTACCGTCATATTTTTTTTAGAAAGTACTCGGGCAAAAATGGTTCTTTATTTCAGAGGTACTGAATGCTTCTCTGGCCGATGCGTCTACTGGTATCAAGGCGCTTCGACTTAGTCCCGATGGGAGACATTTGGCTGTGGGCGGGAAGGACGGAAACGTTTAGTGAGTTTTCAAACCAGTAAATGTTCTGTTCTTTTCCGTCTTTCGTTGTCTCTACTAATATTTTAGTTTTATAAGTTCTGCACTTTTTCTTTTTTAGCGTCTTTGATCTAACGATTGAAGATATACCTCAAATAGTGGCACACGAAGCTCATGAAAATGAAGTAATGTGTTTGGAATATTCAGACCAGTCGTCAGGTTGGTTGTTTTATGGTTTTCTTTAGTTTTTTATTTTAATGAATTTCATGCCGTTCCTAAATATGTCAATGCTCAAACGATGAAGAAAACTGTATTTGCAGCTCGTTATTTGTTGGCATCTGGTGGTCGTGATCGTCTTGTTCATTTATTCGATCCTGTCAACAACTATATTCCCCTTGCAACGGTTGATGATCATACAAGTGCCTTGAATTCAATAATATTTCATTCTGTAAGTGTTTTATGCATCGTAATTTATGAATTATGCGCTGTGAAGAGGCTTCTTGGTAGTTTTAGGTTGACGTATATCTGCATACTTAGACCACTTATCTTTCAGAGTGCCGATGGTCTGGAATTGATTACTTGTGCCACTGACCGTCTAATGGTTATAAGAAGGCTTGTAGAATCAACCGTAAGTTTCGCATCGTATAACAGATCGTCCATTTTCCCTGTATAGTCATGAAATCTTTCTACTGTGTTGTTTGGAAGATATCTTTATTATTTTCTTGTGTAAAAGAATTTGTAAAGGAAGGCTAAACGGCAAAAAACTTCAGGAAAATTCAGTAAGTTTCATACGCTTGAACCAGATCTCATCTCCGTTCGGACTGAACAATGTGACAATGCTTGGTCCGCACATTTTTGCTGCTTGTCAGGATCGTCAACTTAGGTCTTACTCTCTGCAAGGTAAACTTGTGAGACAGGTTAAAGGAGGTATAAGCGAGGAAGGCCAATTAACAAAGGTAGCTATTGCCTGAATCTTTTCTTCGTCTGTGTATACTGCTCATTAATTTGCTCTACTTGACCTGTTGTTCTTAAAGGTTAAATTGGACCCGTCTGGGACATTTGCTGCAACTGTATCGACTGATCGTAGTGTTTATATTGTTGATGCGCTTTCTGGTGAATGTGCTGCCGTTCTTCTGGGGCAGTCTGATGCCGTTACAGATGTTGCATTTACTCTGGATTGCAGGTAGTGCTTTTGTTAGAACGCTTTTAATGCTGCAACTTTGTGTTGCGTAACAGTTTTCAAGAAATTAGTTAAAAGGCTAATAGAAAAGCAAGATGAATATTAGAAATAAGTTTTTAATGTGAATTTGTGGATTTATGGAAAAAACCAATTTCAAAGGGTTTGAGGGTTTTAAAAAGACAACTAGTACTGCCTGTCGTACATTGGATATCGAACGCTTTTAATATTTATTGATGACAAAGACACGTGAAGTATTCTATTATTCCTTTATTATTACAAATGAACATTGTATTTATTTTAAGCAAAAAGAATAGATATGACATAGACTTTCAGTGCGATTTTTATTGTTTAAATGTTCTAGCTGAGTGATGTTTTGTTTTGACAGGTCATTTTATTAGTTTATCTCATTTCTGCTGTCTAAATTGTGCTTTGTAAGGCACAATGTCCTTTGTTCAAAAAGCTTCCTCAAAAGATACTTAATTGTTCATTAGATATCTTCCAATTCTTAAATGTCTAATTGATCCCTTCATTTGTCGAGCAGTTTGACAGGTGGTAAGAGAAGTTATTCATCATATTCTAAAGGCAGTTAGTCTATGTTTCTGCCACTTTGTTCAGTTGTATCTATCATTCACCGTTATGAAGAGTGTTGATGAGAATTTTGCTAAGTGAGGCAATTTTTTGTGGTCACTGTAACTGGAAATGTTTCACCAAAACTAGCCGTAGTATAAGATCCACTAATTCGACTGTATGTTGTGTATTTTATTACCGGCTTTCGGCGGATTCTTTTGGTTGGAGCATTTCAGTTGACGATCAAAAATTTCACTGTATTTCTTATTTTTTCACTCTTTTGCTGAATGAACAGTATTTGTCAACGAGATGGTTTTTACTGCCGACTCGTTAAATTCTCACTCAACGAAAGGAAGTTGTCGATCGAAGTTGAATTTGAGGAGCGAAAAACGTACATCAAAATTACGGTTTTCAAAATCGGAAAAAATCCGTAAACCGAAGCAACCGTTTAAAAAGTAAGGTCCTTTCTCTCCTCGCGGATCACTGGTGATTTTTCTTGTTGTTGTTCAGCTTACTCACATGATAGACTTTGTAAAAAATGCAGCCAAACTGTACAGAAAGGCAAAGAAGGTGTTTTTATGAGCAGAAATGTTCTGTATGAAAAGCTTTGTAAAACCTACCACGTAAGAGTTATTTCATATAGATTTATGATTTTACTTGGGCCTTCGGAACGAGTGATAGGGTTTTGCACTTAAACGTTTCTGTAATTAAAACATTTTGTTTATCGCTTGTTTCTCCTCTGTTGTTGTAGTTTCTTAAAGCAATGGAAAAGAGTTCTTGGTTGTTTTATTCAGTAGAAAAAATTGATATAATTTTTAGTTGTTGACAAATTTCTGTTGAATTCTCAGCAAAGCCTGAATACGTATTTGAACGAAATACTGTCTAAAAATATTTTTGGAGGTTTATGATTTACTGTATTTAATTCATGGATATTTCGTATTTTGTCAATGGGGCAGCTAGTCTTCTACAAGATTAGCATAAAGAAAAGGCTTTTAATCAGATTTTTGCTTAAAACATCAATTTAATTTGCGAAAAAAAGTTTTTTTAGGAGACTAATTGTTGTTTCGTACAGTGGCTGTATATTTGTTTGGCGATTATCAAATCTTCTGTCAAGTAAAATGGGGACCAAATTGAAAAAAGCCACGTCGACTGCAGTGCAACGGCCAACATCTGTAGATAAAACGAACGATAGGTATATTTGATTACTTTTTTTTCGGATTACTTACAGTTTAGCAAAGGTAATTTTGCTAATCAGAACAACAGCTTTAAATGCAAGTCAAGGCGTTATGTAATTTTTATTTGGGATTTTGAACAATAAAGAACTCCATATCTTTCATTTAAAAGTAAGTTAATGTGGAGCAGCAGCGGCGTTGGGTACTCGCATGCTTTGAAAGTCAGTGTGGCTCAGTTTCTTTTGTTTACATTTCTCGTTGTGCAGCAGCTACCCATCTGACATCTGAAAAGATCGCTTGTAAAACAACAAATTTGGCAGTCAGTACGATCAGTACTTCGTTTTTTTTTGTTTTGCTGCTACAGCATCTGTAGGCGCAATTTTGTAGTTGCATTTCTTTGGAACAGGCTTTAGCGGACACTACTAGAATTGGAAATTTTTGAGGTGTGTGACAGTTTGCATAAGGATTGTTAGCATTTGGGAGTTAAGTGCGAGTAGTGTCTTTCACCGAAATTCATAAAAGATAGTTCTATTATATGTTCGTTTCAATTTTATTTCAAATGTTTTGCACTTTTTTTTATCTTTCGGGAAGTCTGAATGTACAGTCATCTTATATCATGATTATCAGATGCTAAACCTTAGATTTTATATGTTTTGAAACGAAAATTTGTTCAATTCACATTTTGACTGATGTTTTGGTTAATGGATTTAAATTTCCTTTATTCCATTATTTTCAATACTGACGTACTTTTTTTATACTAACTGTAATGTTGTTTGAGTGTAATTTTTTTTATTAGAATATAGCTATAGATATACCATTTCCTTCACCTATTACAGATCAGAAACACCGGATAGCTTGATTGGTAGCGGAAGTGATGGTGCAAGCGAAGATATTCCAGGTGTGCCACGCTACAAGGTAATTTTGAAAAGTCGAAGTTTCTTTTTGGAGTTGTAATAATGTTTTGCTGGGAAAAAATTTTTGCAGCTAAAGGACTCTGAATCTGAATTTGGTTCGTTAACCAGTCTTAAAATTGCTGATGAAGATGATGACAGTTGCATAGGGCAAAAACCGGCAAAGGTTGTCCTTAATCAAGCAGATATATCATCCATCGACGCTGAGTAAGTCAAAAAAAAAAGGGTCTCTTATGTTCGTTTTTGAACGTTTTAAATAAATTTAGCAATTTCTGCTCAATCGGATACTTCAAAGAGATTGAGAAATAGTATTATGATAAAATCAAATCTGATGAAAAAGGTTATGCCGTGCAATGAAAAGAACTTTTTTGGTATTTTCTACGCATTTAAATCATGAAAAATTTTTGTTTGATTTCAAGGGCTTTCAATTGCGCCAAATGTATTGTCTGTTTGGTTTTGATCATATTTTGAATTTTTTTACAGAGATAAGTGATCCCGACTTTTTTTTGAGGCATTATTTAAAAAATCATTGATTTTAATAAGTGTCAAGGTCCTAATGTTAGTGTTAAGTCACGAAGTAAAGACTTGTTTCCATTTATTCAGCTAAATCCAAATTTCCTTCTGCACCCTTTTTTCAGCAGCAATTGGCTTTGTTTAAGCAAAAGAATACGGCTCTGCACGTTAATTTGCTTCTTTCTACTTCTCCTTCATCTCCTTCTTTCTGCGTTCTTTCTTCCTCATAATTCGTCTCCGAAGTATTTTTGGTCATCACCCTTTATGTTGAAGCAGGTTCGGCGCTCAGAGTGTTATTACAGTGTATTTACACACACAAGTATTAGAGGGTCAGCAGTGCCATGGTCGGTTGCCCAATAGTCGTATGACGTTCAGTGCTACATCATTGACAGGTCATATGTCGGTTTTTAGGGGAAATAGGTTAGTTTCTAAAGAAACGCTTTTAATCGGGCATCAGTTTCAAGTGGTAACTCTGGAGTTCCTCATAGGCATTTTATGCTTGCATCAATATTAGTCTTTGATTTGACTGGTATATTTTTATCGTTTTTAGATCATAATGGCTGTGTACAGCTGGGAACAAGAGTTTTGAAATTTTTAATATTGGTACTGGTTTTTACTAGTTTGACGTTTCTGTCTTACCTTTGAAATGCTTTAAACATATTTAGGCGATGTGAAAAGCAGGAACTGAGTGATGTTTCTGATTTTCTGCTCTCTTGGGCACCGTTAGGAGCTTATTTTAGATGATTGGTCATCTAGTGGAAAGCACTTTTTCATTATTTTATTGCTTATTTATCATATGAAATGGTTTTTTTTCTTGCTGTCGTTTTTATATGGTAAAATTTTTGCACTAAAATTGTTATCGTTTGAATAAATCAGTTGTAAGTGACTGTTGACTGCTACGGTTTATTTAACACAATTCGGTCATTTTAGGTCAGCGTTAAGAGCAAGTCTTCGTTAAAAACTTTTTCTTACATTCCAAATTTGTGCACTGTATATATGTATATATATGCAACTTATTCATCATACGTGTTTCATGTCCCTATTTACATATAGTGGTCTCTTTGGTTTTTTTTGCCAAAGGTTGTGAAGAAGTCCTTT